TCTTCAAGTAAATATTCACCGACAGTAATATCCTATATGTGCGTCGGTGGCATAGCGGTTAGGACTCTCGCCGACCATGCACATGGTCCGGGGTTCGATCCCCGGCCACTGGACGCACTCCTTTATCTCGCTAAGCCAGAAATAATGCTGGTAAAGAGGAAAGGTTGGGCATGAGGCTAGCAACCCCATCCTGTAAAATAAACATTGCTACAGAATCTTCAAGCCACTAGCTTGAAGCCCTATGTTCCACTGGGGAACGTGAAGGAAAAAAAAAGAAAAAAATATCCTGTGATGTACTGTCATTTACTCCGAAGGAAGAAAGACTCAATTGTCTACAACATTATTTCTTCATTTTCTTCTTGAATAGTGCACAACGGGAGGGTTGGAAGTCAATTAGAAAACTTAGTATGAGATCATGTTCTCATCCAAGTACAAATTAATTGGAAGATTAGAACAACAAGAAACGGAGAAAAGTAGATTCATTATCCTGGATAGAAATTTATGTTTAAACACACTGCCACTTTGATATTATCTGATTTCAATGTTCAAGTTAATTACTACATCACGTAGGCAATCCCACTTCTAAAGATAAATGTGTCTAGAGTAATTGTGTTATATTTTCATTTCTGAATTCTTCGTTCAGAGATGCTGAAAATCCTACAAATCCATCATATTTCACGTGGTAATAAGTGAAAATGAAAAGAACTTGAAATTCTTGAAGTGACGTTGCTATTTTTACTAGAATGCCTTATGTGAACGCCTTATAGAAATAGATACAAAAATGACCAAGACAAAATTATACTACTTTTCATATCTATTAAGTAGTCACAAACAGTAAAACAATACGGTATATTTTATGGGGCAAAGTATACATTAATAACTCTGTGAGAAGGAAGATGTTGATAAGCGGTGCAGGTATGATAAGATATTAAAAAAACAAACAAATAAAATGAAAATACAATCTGTCAAACAATAATATTTACGTTCCCCATTTTGTAATAAACAAGTTCTACTATACGGATCAGAGACTTGCACTGCGCGTCATAAAGACAATCTCAAACAAACTACAAACCTTCATTAACAGTTCTCTTCGCTCAATACTCAAGATCAGATGGCCGGCCAGAAAAGATCAGCAACAGAGATCTCTGGGAGCGAACCAACCAGGAACCGATTGTGAAACAAATAATCAGGAAGAAATGGAGATGGATTGGTCATACTCTGAGGAAACCATCAAGTGACATCACTAGACAAGCCATCGCTCGAGTGGAACCTGACTGTATTGGAAGCGGCACGTTGGTCGTCAGTGCAAGGGTGACTTGGAGGAGGTGAAGAGGAGATGAAAAAGTGTGGGCAGACATAGAGCCAGGTGAAGACTCTAGCAGAGAAGGGAATGCAACGGAGACGCACGGCTGAAGCCCTATGTTCCTCTAGGAATTAAAGGATACAATAATAATAATAAATTGTTTTCCCAATACACCCTAAAATATATGATTTGTCAACTTACAAATATACAAGTAACTGGTGATCATACGCGAAACCAGATGGTAAAGTTTCAGGAGTATTTTCTTCATCACCATCATCAAGATCATCGCCTTCTTCTAAATCTTCTTGTCTTGATACTTGTGCAGGCTTTGTGTTTGACACTTTCTTGTTATTATTCCATCGTTTGGATGTACGTTCGGGGAATAGAACATCTGGTTGCCTGACAAAGACATCATTTGGATGAAGCATTACAAAACCTTTATTCTAAAGTCGGGAGATAAATGAAAGATTTTAGAAATATATTCCAAAGAAACAAAATAAGCTGTTTATACATGTAATAGCTCTATTGAATTAATTGTCTGAAATACGTTAAAGGTAGATGCAGTCAGAAAGTGATATACACCTAATGAGGTCGATGAATACCAGAGATAAATGTGCTTAGCTTTACACGAAAAGTCCTGATAAGTGTACACACCTAACTCTATGCAAAGCTGATTGCTACAATGTCAATGAAATAATCAAAGATCAATGTCCAACAAGACAATATTCAATAATGAACATGCCAAATTGAAAGGTATAGCCTATAAAATTCCAATCAAATAACTGCAATTCGTAAGCATTATGCAGCTGATGAAGGTTGTATTGAACTACTGAAGAGACTTGAAGTAAGATGAAAAAGATGGTCAACATCACTTAGTTACTGATAGTGCTCCAGACAAACTTATTTTGTAATGAAAAAAAGATAAGAAATCTAGATTCAACTAATACTGAAGAAGTGCTTGATGTTTAAGGATCAAACTAAATATGCATTACGTAACTTTATGTTATACAGACTCGAAGATCTACAGGTGAAAACCAACAAGGTGGTAGAAGAAGCAGTGAAGATACGAAAATTATTTGTACTAAACATTTGTTTGTAGACTTGTAATTGTCTTTACTTTAATTGCCAAACAATATAACTTTCTTCTTAAACCACTGGTGTTTTGGAGTTGAAGTCGAGACAAGTACATAGTCATTATCGGTTCAAAGCGTCTTCGTTACAATAGGAACTTAAGGCTAAGTTCCTTGACATCACTTGAAATGAACATAGAAAAGACAGGGGTGATGAAGATGACTAACCAATAACAACAACAAACACCAATCCCTATGAACACGGCAAATTTAGAGGAAGTCACCTCTTCACCTACCTAGGCAATATCATTTCCACTACAGGCGGCATAGATGAGGATGTCAAAGCCAGCCAGGATCGGAAAGGCAAGACAGACCTTTATTACTCTGAAATCAGTCTGGAAATCTAATGCGCTAAGCATAAAGAACAAGATTGGGATTTTCAAAGCCGATGTCAGGTCAGTTACTACATATGGTTTAGATACTTGGAACACCACTGAAAACACTTCAAACAGACTGCAGACTTCTATCAATAGGTGCCTCCGCACCATATTGGGGACCAAATGGCCGGAAAGGATTAACGACAAGGGACTCTTGTGACGAACCAACCAAACACCTATTGCTCAATAAATATGCCGAAGAAAATCGAGATGGAGACCGTTGAAGGACATCGCGCGCCAGACGCTCAATTAGAACACGAATGGGAAACAACGGTTTGAGCATCTGAAGGTGACATAGAGGAGATCGTGTGAGTAGGGAATGGAAGTCCATGCACAATCGTGGAGGCGCATAAAAAGGACTGCAGAGAAATGAGGGAAACAGAGGCGTACTGTTGAAGCCCCGTGTTCCACTCGGAACTCAGTGGAATAATAATAAAATATAATTATTCTGACATCAGTTAATATTTTTCCAGCCGAGAGTTTTCTCCATATGCATAGTTCAGCTTATCAAGTACAATCTAGATATCTTTGAGTCAGACAACTTTACCGTCGTACCAAGAATACAAGAAAAGACATTATGAAAATGGAGTCTGGTACAGTGGCTCACAGAATACAGAAGAAAGATGTTATAACCAAGGATGATATTGCAATTTGGATTCATTCCTACTGTTACGTTAAAATACAGCGATAGACGACTGACCACTGGAATACGATTTCCACAGTGAGGAAGACACAGAAGATTGTCTCAGAAGGCAAAGATTTATGGCTCGATGAGAAACTAAGCATGACTAGAAATTCCAACTAATTATATAATTATGTTACGTAACTAATAAATTACTATTCAAATGAACTGTCGTCAAGATTTGACAGTTCATTTGAATTATTTTGCAATCGAATTAAATTAACAAAGAAACTGTGTAATTGGAACAATCATCGTGTTTTCACTCTCCGTTGTCTGCAACAGAATGCATATCCTAAATCCGTAGATGTCGAGTCACCTGACAACTCCAGTAGGTCGACTGCTTTATTCGACCTACTCAATCTTCAGAAAGAAGACAATGCAATAAGTTCGACAGGGTACTTCTACTAAACTCTAATCCTAAACACCATAATTTTGGAAATACGTCTAATCATAAAATTCTAGATACTAACAGTGTGAACAGACATGAAGGTGTGATGTTAGCTGATGCATAGGAAATCCTTATTAATAAATAAAAAATGGATATGTATCACTAATTATTAATACTTGGTCAAAATTCTCGACTGTCCATATCTTCTTATGGAGACGTTAAGAAATGTTTTTCAACTGTTTACCCCCCCCCCCCCACACACACACATACACACTCTGTTTAAAGTCTTTAACAAAGGTAGACCAATATTTGTAAGTCCGGGGTCAAATTTTGATCATAGCTCATAAAATTTTGTTTATTATACTTGTTGAATGACTCATGATTGGACAAAATTTTTAAAAACAAGTGATGTTCCTTTTATATATAAACCTGTGTTATGTTAATTTCGATTAATTTCCCTGAAGAAGTTCGGACCAGATTGCCGAACGAAACGTTGGAATTACTCATTTCAATCTCGCTGAGATTTTACAAATATAATTTTGACTTAATAAATTACTAGTTTAAAATATAAACCTTTTTTTTGACTAGCTAGCACGTATCACTTAAAATTCGCTGGCCTGACCCTTAGCCTATGTTAGGGTCAAATCTCTGGTTAAAGGTCACGCAAACAATGAGTCATAATGTATATCCATCTGTGCTAACAAAATGTAAAAATAAAACATTTGAGTTCTGCAAAGTTAATTTGTAAATTAAAGAATATTTGGGGAATCAAACACCGTAAGAACAACCAAGAGAGAACTCCCTGAACTCCAAAATTAGGATGAACACCAAGACTAATCCCAGTAAGGATTTAGCGAATCACCTCACGAGAAGCCATGATGCACAAATCCCCAAAGTGAAATCGACAATGTTCTCTAAACATTGAATGTAAAACTGTTTAAATTCAATAGTGTGGTAAGTGAAAAGGCTGAAATGGCTTGAGAAGTATTAATAACATCACAACTCTCAACAGTTTTTGCAATAGACTACTTTTAAGATTCTATTTAGAATCATCAAAACGGGGCTTTAGACAGGAAAACTGATAGCTTACAAAAGCTTTTGACGAAAACACACTGCTTACCTTAGTATGAAAAACCATTTCAGCTCCAGCTCCAGCTGTACCTCCACGATTTGCTACCCGATAGGAATTAGCATCATCTCCAATAGCCAAATGAGGATACATACCACCAGCTAGTACAACTTTTAACAACTGGACATCAGCTTGTGTCATACTCTCTTGAATATTTGCTGATTGAGCCAAGTCAGTTAAATTATAGCATAGAACTAATTCTAAATCTTGTACTGGAATATTTAGAGAATTAATATTAACCGATGAACGAGTTGAAGCATTTAACCATTTACGTAATTTAGCTGCATCATTTTCTGTATTCTGACTTTCATTTTCAGATTCAGAGTCATCAGTAAACTGTATAAAAAAAAGAGAAATTGAGAGGAGTGAATTGGAAATTCTATCAATAGTTATTTGATAATACAACATTTTTATTGTTGAAGAAATAAGGAAATATATAGTAAAAAAAAAGTCTTGAGTACTGAGGGAAAAAAATGGTTACGAACCATCCACTAGTATCAATGAACTCAGGAAGCCAAAAATTTAAAAGAAAATGTACTGAGAAATTATAGCGTCTGAAAAGAAATCTTATTCCTGCTTTGCTTAACAACCTTTGTGAGACTTTAAGGAAAGGATAGAAAACAGCTTTTCGAAGAAAATGCAGCGGCGACTTTACCCCACATGTTGCTGTATGAAAGTGAATAAGTGAGTAACGGAACCAATGGACAATAAATACATATAGACAAGTACATGAATAAGATATACATATAGGCAGAGACATATATCTCTCCAGTGCTATGTTTAGTATAGACTAGAGAATGTTATATCCACGCTGAAACAACGTCAGCAACTATTAAATTTGGACGGATACAAATTCCTAAATCATGAAAGTTGTTAAAATGTTTAATGAAATGACATACTAACGCTGAATTAGGCATGTAAATTAGCCATGGTGTGGCGAGTGCTACTGATAACATTTAACAGTAGTATATAAAGAGACGTTTATCGGCATAAAAAACATAAAATAGCAGGGAGATACATTTGATTTCAGAGAAAGAAAATGATACAGCCTTGTGGATATATAAGGGAGACGTGAAAGGAACACAAAGAAACACAATATGAAGTCCAGAAGTACCACAACACGAAGATCTGTGCAAATGGTGCTTTGAAAATAAGGTATACATAATTTGGCTATAAAGAGATACCAGTTTCCAATGGACCATTTATACTTAGTTGACAGGTTTTAAACGCGTGTTGTGAGTAACCCTAGTCTTTTTGAACTGGTCATGAAGATAATCCTTAAAATGATAATATAAGCTTCATCCAAAAATCTTAAATCACTGAGGGCAATTAAGACTATCAGAACGTCCACATACATACAATAAATCCGGGTAAATATTATTATTTCAAATGAACTGTCGTCAAGATTTGACAGAATAGTTCTAAAATATTTGGGCGCCGAGTGAGAAGTAGACATTTGTAAAAAATTATATTTGTAAAATCTCAGTGAGATTGAAATGAGTAATTTCAACGTTTCGTTCGGCAATCTGGTCCGAACTTCTTCAGGGAAATTAATCGAAATTAACATAACACAGGTTTATATATAAAAGGAACATCACTTGTTTTTAAAAATTTTGTCCAATTATGAGTCATTCAACAAGTATAATAAACAAAATTTTATGAGCTGTGATCAAAATTTGACCTCGGACTTACAAATATTGGTCTACCTTTGTTAAAGACTTTAAACAGAGTGTGCATGCGTGTGTGTGTGAACGGTTGTAAAACATTTCTTAACGTCTCCATAAGAAGATATGGACAGTCGAGAATTTGACCAAGTATTAATAATTAGTGACACATATCCATTTTTATTTATCAATAAGGATTTCCAATGCATCAGCTAACATCAAGCCTTCATGTCTGTTCACACTGTTAGTATCTAGAATTTTATGATTAGACGTATTTCCAAAATTATGGTGTTTAGGATTAGAGTTTAGTAGAAGTACCCTGTCGAACTTATTGCATTGTCTTCTTTCTGAAGATTGAGCTGCCTTATCACAGCTCATAAAATTTTGTTTATTATACTTGTTGAATGACTCATGATTGGACAAAGTTTTTAAAAACAAGTGATGTTCCTTTTATATATAAACCTGTGTTATGTTAATTTCGATTAATTTCCCTGAAGAAGTTCGGACCAGATTGCCGAACGAAACGTTGAAATTACTTATTTCAATCTCACTGAGATTTTACAAATATAATCTTTTACAAACTTTTTTTTTTTGATTTACAGCTTGATTCCACACCGTATTTTCAGTACAAGTATGGAATTTTCAGCATGGATATCGGTTGCCCAAATTCAGGCATACCATAGATATCGGGTGTGCGCCGGCAGGGGATCGAACCCCGGACCATGTGCATGGTCGGCGAGAGTCCTAACCACTGTGCCACCGACGCCAATGCTTCTAATCCTATGATAATTTCCCATATATCTGTCTGCAACTGTGAGTTCGGGTGAGTATTTCTGTCTGGTAGCATATTTCCTTTACTCACCACTTCTCTGACCAACACAAGACCTCTTCGATTCAAAAAAGTTAAATACCACTTTTACGCCCAGAAATAAAGCAAGTTTCGGAAAACCAAGAGACATCAAGTTAATTAAGTTTTTCTCACTCGTAATTATCACAAGATAATTCCTCTTTATATGCGCTTTATTACACTAGAATGACTGAAAATACATATCACAATTTGATACAATCATCACAGAACTATCTGCTAGCATTTGAAAATATCCAATCACCAATTCTTGACAGACACTGACGGGGAATTTTATAAGATAATTATGATTTTCGGTCCGAAACAGCTATCCTAACTTTCATCAAGTTACACGACTGTGGTATACATCGAATTTACGTTTAAGTTGTACGTTAGGCACCTAAGGAATGAGACTACAAGTCAAGTGAACTGGTTTAGGAAGCTACCAGATGGCTGATTTCTGTTTTGATATTCTAACTACCACTGATCAGATTCTTTCGAAAAGAGATGAAGAACTATAGACTGCTGATTACTACCGATTTCTGCAATATTCATTTTGCCTTAATAAATCTGTTTGTTCTAATTTTGCTAGTCCCTAGTACAGGAGTCAGTGAGAATAAGTAATAACACAAATATTAGTTTGAAGACAGCCATGTAAATACCTAGTGTTTTCCGAAAAAACTTAAGGTATCGTGTTCAAGTAAGTACTGACTCACAACCTAATGAAACACAAACCTGACTTTTTCATCTTTGAACCAAGTATACAAGAAGAGGTTTTAGATTACATGTATAAGCTAACACATGATTGAAATGTAAACAGGAGTTATGGAAAAAAGAACAATTCCTCCTAGCAGTATGCATCTATCTGTATTAATAACTCAGCGGTGAGAACTATCTTCTCATATATTACTGATAATCAAGAACTAGTGATTAGCACAGAAATTACAAGAGACAACTATCGCTATTTTTCACTATCGCATTTCTTAAATACCTTTTGAAATGAGTTTTCCGATCAAATTTCTCCTGTTCCAAAACTGACATCACTACTGTCTGTCTGTTTCCAACATAGAACTTTGCACCGGTCTGCAGCATTTCAAGTCGCCACACTCCATGTAGCGCACAAAGCAAGAGAAGAAAGTAGAAGAAATGTAAAGTAGAGACAGTAAACAAGGATGTGAGACAAAAGGAATAGTAATAACGAAGAGCAATATAGTTTCATTGGGTATTATAAGTCACAAGGAGTGGATGCATCTGCGCCAGCCATTGAGAACGATTTTGAGCCATATCACCGATTGTCTCCAGCCATTGGTTTTTACCGTCCTGAGGACCCCAACCAGGAAGTCTACACCTCCCTACGTGGCTTAAACTAACTGTTGGGGATTTCATTGACTGATGAGGCTACGTTTTGGTTTGACCACCAGTGACTCTTTTCCAACCTGACCCTATGTCAGCTAACATTGCCCGTCGAGGAAGGCGATGACTAGGACATCACTACTAAAACAAAATAACATCTAAACATTTTGATTTTAGTCAAAAGATGGAAAACTTTTAAAGGGATTTTATCTAACATATCATCTAGGCTGTAGTAAACAGACGCATAGTTGAATATTGCTAATAAGGAACTATGTGCAACGCAGTTTATCCAGGTTAAAATAAAACTAACAGTACATAGACGAGACACTACTGGAAAGTATTCCTTTTAATCCTAGATATTCATTCACACAATCTTTACTCCAGAGATCCATTCTGTAGTAATTATTAACAGAATCGCCAGAAAAGTGTATGATGAATTCTACTGATTCACTTCGCTAAATAGATGATGAAAGGTGAATAAATGAGTCTAGAAGTACTGTGTTCTACACACGCGTCCATACTTCATGATGACGAACTCTTACTTTTTGAAATTAGTAGTAAACGGTTCAGATATTGACAGTTCTCAACTGCTGGTTTGCAGGGATTTGATTTGATTGGTTAAAGGATTTCATCATGAACTAACCTCATTTGGAGAACCATTGGAAAACCTGGGAGTATTAGAAAGCTGTTTCGTCCTAGTTTGGGACTCTTCAGTTCTAATATGCAATCACCATTGTCTTTCAAACAAAGGAGTCATCATTAATGACACCACATTATGGTATTGATGAAAGTGTAATGTTTATCAAGATTACATTTATGTAAATAAAGTTAAAACAAGGGAGAAATATTAAGATGATTACTGATGATCCGAAAAGTTCCAAGTGCCATTCAAAGGTTAGAGATGATGGTAAATCACAATAGATAAAATAAGTATAAATAATGTTATTTTTTCAGCTGAATAAACCTACATTATCTTGTAAAGTGAGCAGTCGACGACGTTTTGTTCGCATTCTTTCAGTACGTCTTGCATAATTTAAATTTTTAAAATGATAACTTCTTGACGATGAACTTGTATCAGCTTCTTTCGATTTTGTGTCAAGAAGACCACTATCTCTTAAAAGTTGAGCAAATTGATTACGTAGTCGAACCATTTCATGAAGACGTTGTTCTTGAGCACCAATACGACGACACCATCGTTTAATATTTGTCGATCTTTTCTGATCACCAGTTTCGTTGGATTCATCCTCGTAACTGAAAATGCCAGTCGCCTCTGATTTCATCTGATTGTTGTAAGAGAAAATAAACGGAAAACAATTAAAATTAAATAACTAATAAACAATTTAGTTATTTACAAAAAAAATGCAAAGAAATAAACAGTTTACTAAATAGATAGAGAAAATGAAGTTTTATATCACGTTAATCCATTTCATATTAGCTTGAGAGATTTTAAATGGTTACGCCTAAACAGTAAGCACTGTACTTTAGCTTACTTTTCTTGTGGATTCATTATTTAACAGAAGATAAATTTCAAGACTAAACTAGATGTTCAGTAGAAGAAAAGTGTTCAGATCACATGTTAGAAGGAGTTTTAACTATTCTATTTATACGTCGTTTATTTCGTGAGTTCATAACCCGTATGTGTTGATGAAAAGTATTTTTATCGAAAGCAATAAGTACTAACTTTATGCATTACAAAAATGATAAAAACTATCATTTGCCTGTGTGGTGTGAATAAGAACCAATTTTACCAATGTCTGTGACAATCTAGTAAAAGGGATTTTTCGAATGGCGCTGAATGTCCTGAATTGACCAGATGTTTATCACTGAACTATATATACATTTTCGATCTCCTTTTACTAGCCAGGTTGAATAATGTTCACAAGCGCGTTTTTCCAGTTGGCGCATGGTACGGCCAATGTACTCAGCTCCCCAAGAGCGAGTAAACTGGTAAATGCACGTTGAAGTGGCCCAATGCGACAGCTTGTCTTTCGCGTTCTGGCTGAACAGTTTCTTGCAGGAAAAAGTCAGTCGTAGGCTCGCGACGAAGTATGTTTTCCTCAGAGATTTGGAGAGGCATTTACGAAGGATTTTAAGTTTTTCTTAATCCCTATTTACACTACCATATTTTCATATCCAAACTTCCTGTCTATTTTGTTATTTTATTATTTCTACATATTTAATCCCTGATTGCATAAACAATTATTCGTCACATTAGTTATGATCCCACTAGATTTTTTTATCCAAACATCCTGTCTATTTTTGTTATTTCTACATTTCTAACTCCTAATTACACAATATGTCAATTTTCTCAGTAATTATGATGCTACTTTGTTTGAGTTTTATCCATCTCCCTGTTTATTATGGCATTTTAATTCCCAATTGTAATCTTATTAATTTCACCCTTAACCGGAAATTATTCTGGAACTTTCTCAACCATTTATCATAAATACACGAATGTACAGCCTAGTTGATGCTGACTTCGTCGAAAAGAGAATTTTCTTCGCTGCAACCGTCTTTTTAATAATTCATTATTATTATTAGGCTTAAACAGTCGAATCAGTATAACCACTTCACTGAAGTAGTTAGTCGGAGTTCAAATGGTTTAAAATGATTCAGCTATCTAAGTTTGCGTACAACACTGAACTGAATAATAAATTATTTGAAATGTAGTATACCTCAGAACTCTAGTTAGAAAGAAAACAATAATGCAGTTTTTGGTGTGTTAATTGGACGCACACTGGCGCTCTGAATTCACAGACTGCTAGAACATATGATGCGCATATATGTCTTAGATAATGACGACATATAGTAGGGTTTACTATATTAGGTAATATACTATTCAAACCAAACCGCTAGTTTATTTTATGTCCAATCGATTACTTTGATTACAAGTACACAGATCAAAAGAATATATATATATATATATGATCGGTGAGTTTGTCGATTGGATACATATTAGAACTGTGAATGATTAAATTCCAATATCCGTCACTAATCAAGGAGGTTGGCTTTTGTACATCAAGGTCAAATTAACGATAAGGACAAATCAATTTAGATTTCACTAAACATATAACACAACATATTTCACATCAATTAAAAACAGACTATTGAATACAACTAAACAATAATATCCAATAGACAAGGATTAAAAAGTGAAATGGAAATCAATAAGATTTCATTAGAATTACCTTGATCCATTCATCAAAAACATTGACCAAAGTAAATGCATCACCATGATTACTTTCATATTGAGCTAATGAATCCACTCGACGGGTTTGTTCTGCTCCGCTGAATGCTGTATGCGGTAGCAATGGACACTGGATAGCCATACCAGCAGCTAAGCTTAACACAGGTTGAACAAGTCTTAATAGCGAGGCTAGTATTAACATTCGACCCAGTGAAAATTCTACCGGGATCTCTGATAATAACTGACCAAGTGGAGTCACTGTCAGTGAAGAACTTGTAGAATTTTGTGGAACAAGAGCTCCATGTGACTAAAAAATAGAATATATATATATATATACAGCGAGGGGGAATTAAACACTGGAGAGTTGATGATTACATCGATTAAGTGCACTGGAGTTACAGTGTAATATACAGAGTTAAAAATTCCTCCACATATCATTACTGTAATTCGAAAAAAAGAACTTTAATTTACCGATTGACAGCTCTGTCAACTGATCTTAGAGACGCAGCTGTTAACCAGGTCTTGATTTAACAACAGTCCTACAGGAGGTCAATCGTGAGCCCGGTTGGCTCAGTGATAAAGTCTCTCACTGAAGCACTGGACGACATGGGTTCAAACTTCAAGGGGAATATGAGTTCCTTCAAGGTTGCAGATACGCCTTGGTGACTGGTGAGTGCCAACTAGCACGAAACCTACGTCTAAGGTTTCCTGCCGATTGCTTCCAACTATCTAATAACAATAATTCAGAGTGCAACGTGATGGCTAGCCACCCAGCATGGTGGCCACATTACAAACTTGACTGATAAAATTCCGTCTGAATCAACCAAACGACTAGACGCATGACACTAGTTACTGACTGCCTAGTGTTCAATCAGAGAACTATGTATAACTTAGAAAATTAGATAATACTTATCTATTATGCACAATAATGATTCCTGATATTAGTAAGAGGTATTTATTTCTTTTTACTAGTTTTACTTTATTATCACCTTGACTATGGACACATCATAACAGACTTTAAGTTATCCTGAAGTAACTACAACTAGTAAATTAGTAGTTATGTTCATTACTTAAAACAGATAAATTTCAGGAATCAACAATCTAAGAGTTATTCGACTAAAATCTAAAATACTATAATAGATGTGCAAATCAATACTAAAACTTATAAACATACTTTTAAAATTTCGTATGCTTCATCAATACATTTCATTTCAGGAGGATCTATAAAGGGGAATATTTTCACATCTGGTAAACCCATTACCATCATTTGTAGTACAAGTGTTTCTAAAGGAACACGACGAATTTCAGGTGTACTAAAAGCCTTGGGAAAAGAGGGATAAAAAGAAATAAGATAAAATACTTAATTTAATAAAATAGAAGTAATGTACAGGAATATATATTTCAACGGTAATTAAATATGCTAAGACACAACTAATGCCTGCTACTATGCTGGTAGTTTAGCACTAGTATCCAAGGTCATACAATCAAACCGGTTAGTTAAATAAACACAGTGAAGTACAAAATCTATTAACTTTTGGACATTAATAAGATGGTTCGCTACACACACACACACACACAGCCAACACCTTCGCCATAACTATCAACCAAATTCTCTCAATCACTCATTCATTCATTAATGCGCTTCATCAATCAACAAGTCAACCGACTCCAGATCGACTCTCACCTCTTGCTTATCACACTGACTCATCGACTAGTCTCAATTTCGCCTTCCACATCTGCACCGAATAATATCATACATACAACATCACTCATGTCACACCATGTCACACACCATACAATCTACTCCCACTGGCTCCACAAACAACACCATCTACACACTGAGAGAAGACGCTGAGTGTGAGACGAAATGAGAAGAGGTGACGACCAGATGACAAAGAGACATTGAAGAGACGTGACATGCATGAGAATCTGTCTACATTCGCAAGAGTTGAATAGGTATGAAGGGTGGTTTGGCGAAGCAGACTATCAGGGTGTAGTACTTACTGTGTGGGACTCGAGGAGTATTAGTGCAGGGGAATCGACTGCACACACCTCATATGGATTAGATGAGAATATTGTCAATGTGTGGATGTGTGCTTGATATAAGAATATGATTATGAGCAATAAACTGTGCTCGAAATGTCATCAGTAAACATTACTGTATAACACTGTGAGACTTTATCAAAACAAAATTTACCCATAATGGAATGGTTCGCTACATTTAACAGCCTAGCAGATAACTCTATGGAGATTTGATACCGACTCAACAAACAGAGATAACGATGAATACATTTTCAATTTCAATGATGACTGTTGTAAAACGAATAATATCCTAATAAAACTGTTGAAATTGTTAGGCCAGCCTTAAAATGATATCTATATAGGACAACAGCTACCAATTATCTTTTATTTCATTCCTTTTCGTTTCGAGTAGAACATAATGCTTCAACCCTGAGCTTTGAAGTTTCATTAGCTATGGTGTCTTTTTTACAGGGTGGGTTCGCAAGTCTCACGTTCAGCCTTCCCTCTCTATTAGCCTTACTACTGTCTAAGCAAGGTTTAGAAATGTGTCGCCCAGGAATCGAACCTGGACCATGTGCATAGTGGGGGCGAGCATTCTACCATTGAACTAACGACGCACAACAGCTACGAATTGCTTAACTCAGAAGAAAATGTACAACAGATGTCGTCACGGATGCATAGAGTCACCCTGTAAACAATCAATTTCAGATAGTATATACTGGTGTAGTTTAGAAACAACATTGCATTGATTTGTTTAGAAGACTTTGATGTATACATTAGCAATTGGTTTGTAGACCAGGAAAATTTATCTCAATTTCTATTAAAGTGCTACAGAACTGTTAAATATAACCGATCAAAGTGAAAATTTTTAAAAGGTAAGAAGTATTTGATCAGTGTCATCGCTTGTAAGCAAGTGGACAACTACTCAGCAAACAACGCAAAAATACAATGAAGGATATTAATTGAGGAAGATGGTCAGGTTCACCCTACAAAATTATTGACAGAAGTGTTTCATGCAATAACACACTACATCGTCCTAAATAAATAAGACCAGATTAGATAAAAGCTATAAATATGACTGGGTAAATAAATAAAAAATATTGATAAAATAGCAGAGAAGCTTATGTCTTCACATTAATGTTTGACAGCAACTAAAATCTTCAGTTGGAGGCTTTTTTCTAAACAGTTTTAGAATCTATTACAACAAATGCTTAGAAGCTTTACCTTCATCTATGAATTTCTTTATGCCTCTCTCCAAGATTATTTTTTTACAACAACTGGTGAATATACACGGACTATATTTTTAGATTTCCTTTGATTTTCATTGCCGATTCATTGTGTTGGTATGAAATATGATAACTGTGGTCGACAGAAATTTTATATCAAGTTCCATACCATTTATATCTCTCCTTTTATCTAAAATAAATTTTGCTAAAGTCTATAATCTGATCTCAACAGATTCAGTCATACTACTAAAAGTTAGAGAAAAATATTTAAGAGTGATTTATGAATTTTCACAATTTCCTGTTTTGTTTTTCAAATATACAATTCGTTAGACATCAGCTACTAAATCACTGAAATTAATTCTCGACATACCCTGGATTCATGGGCGATTGGATAGGGACCCAGTGGCTTAATGGTCTACGAGCTCGTCTTGTAACCAGGAGGTCCTGGGTTCAAACCCTAGAGGTGGGTGCGTACTGCTGAAGAGTCCCAAGCTAGGACGATAGGCTGTCCAGTACTCCCAGGTTCTCTAACCGATGTCAGCACACGATAAAATCCTGTAACCAATCAATCAAATCCCTACAAACCAATACTTGAATATAAAAATCGACCCAATCTGTACAAACGAGTCATAGGTCTTTCTTAGTATTTTTTAAAATTTTCTTTCTGTTTCAAGTGGAACATATAGCTCCAAGCTTTGAAGTTTTAGCAGTGGTGGTGTCGCTTTTATCGGCCTCAAACCCGACTTTCCCTTTTTTTCTGGGTTTGCCGACAGTTAGGCGAGGTTTAAGAGTGAGTCGGTCGAGAATCAAATCCGGGACTCGTGAGTGGTTGGTAAGTATTCTATCTTTGAACCACCAGTCTTTAGAAGACGATTAAAAACTTAACAAATATGCCTTAAGACAACTACCAAATAAATATCATGAATCAAATCAAACTAACTATAAAAAACTAGTAAAACTTGGATGGGTGGAAGAGACAAAATATGAGAGACAACACAATTAGAACAGATGAATACAAATTGACTTAAATTACCTCGAAAGCATTATAATCCTCTTGTGTATAGAAACGATAACAAACACCAGGACCTGTACGACCAGCACGACCTTTGCGTTGATTAGCACTTGCTTTAGATATTGAAAATTCTTTTAAACAACGCATTCTTGCTTTAGCATCCCAGCTTAACTCTTTCACTTTGCCTGAATCTGCTACAAATCTAACATGAATGTGATAGATACATTTTTAGAAAATTAGCTTAATTAGGATAAAGGTAGTTGCTATTCAATGATTAACAATCAAGCACTGAAACATCAACTGGAAATTCATTTTTTCACTCACTTTAGTCTTAACAAGTTGAATCAAGTGGTTTGAACTGATTCGGTTCTCTCAGAGCCAATTCACAACCAGGTACACAGCTGATGAGCTCAGTCCTGAACTAGCGAAGCGGCCATCCGGTGTTTAGATCACTTCACTCCGACTAGGAAGCGATACTGGTTGATGTGAGTGGTATACAACTACTCATCTCAATCAGTCAATGGTACATAGTTTCATGCTTTCTTGATTACCATTTATGGTAATTGCAAATTAGTTTACAAAGTGCGGATTTGATTTATGACAAATTAAATAAAGTTTTCATAGATACACTGATTAGTTACACTAGGGTGTATTCCATATCATGTGCCTAACCTACAGTACTGGTGCTGATCGGATTCTATCAATTAAGATTATGATGTGATCATCAACTGTTATAACCGCAGTGAATGAAACCCCGTCGCTTGTTTGTTATAACTGTACTGAACTGAATAAACCCATCGGCAATTTGTTATGTCTGAGCCTGCTAATTGGTAATAACGGTAGTGAACTCGACTGGTACCCTAATATGTCTATTTGCCCGTTGTACCTTCCGATTCACTGAACCACGCAAATATCAAAAGACAAAGGCTGACCTGTGACTGTAAGATACTGTACTGTACCGTATATTTATTAGGAAAACGACACATGATATTTATACATTTTTATAACAATAAGGTCGGCTCACAGCCGTGGGAAATAATTGATCACACAAGTCACAATATGCATGAGAAATGATTGATCGCATAATCAATGATAATATGCGTTGAGAAATGATGATATACTATTTTATGCGGGATCCTGTCATCAGCCCAGGAGACTCACAAACGCAGTGCACTTTGAATTTATGTTAGGTGATTGATAGCATTCGGTAGGAAGCCCTGAATCTAGGTTTTGAGCTTTTTGACACTCGTCACCAAGGCGTACCAAAAACCAGTAGAGATTATTATTATACTATTATTGTTCCCTTGGGTTCCGAGTCGAACATAGGGCTTCAACAACACATCTCCACTTTCTTCTATTTTCCGCTCTCCTCTTCAGCTGGGCCCACGATTGCCCATAATATGGCATCTCCTTCAACTCGCACGATCTTCTCCATGTCACCCTCGCACCGACGACCCACTCGTCGTTTCCCATTCGGGTTATACTCAAGCTACGGCCTGTCTCGCGATGTCATTCGACGGTCTCCTCAGTGTGTGTCTGATCCACCTCCATTTTCTCCTACATGTTTGTTGAGCAATAGGTTCTTGGTTGGTCTGTACCCAGAGTTTCTTGCTGCTAATTCATTCTGGCCATTTGATCTTCAATATGGAGGGAAGGTAGCTGTTGATAAGAGTCTGCAGTGGGCTATTGGAAATGTTTTTCATGACACACCAAGTTTCTAACCCATATAGAACCTGTAGGGACTAACATCTTTTTGATGTGGTTGAGCTTTATGAGCTGGGTGATGCTTCCTATGAGATTCGAGCCCGCGTTTAGTGACAGAATTTTAAGTGTTTGTTGAACAACATTATCACTACTCTAAATTCTATACCATTTGGATATTAATCACATACACTTAAGTCACGAGCCTGTTTACACAGAACAATACTAAAAATGGAAAGAGAATTTTAGAAAATGAAGAAGGATTACAGTTTAACAAGAAATTCTACGGGTAATTAAGTTTATTACTAGTTTTGTTTGCTTTACAATCATTGATTAAAAACTGTCAGTGATTTATCATCAAAGTCGACTATTCCATACATTTTAATTATCAAATATAGGAATACCATGTTGTAAGAATTTTTAGTGTTGAAACTATCTATTCACATTTAATCGTTTGTGATCATAAAGTCGATAGATGATGGTAGTTTCTTATTTTCATTTTCAGTCTGTTTCACAAATTGTCGTTTTTTTCCATTCATAACATTTACGAGGCAGTGAACAAAAGGAGTAGATAAAGAATGTAAGATAAAATCATAGAGTAAGAAGGGCATAAGATAGAAAAAATGAAGATAAGTGATAATAAATGTAAGGTAATTTTTTTGCTAGTTTGAACAGATACGGGATATAGTATGAGTCAGTGTTTTTTATTCATAAATAGTGGACCAAACAGTCGGCCTTCACCTAGATGAAAGGTCGTACTGTCATTGAAATTTTATTGGTACGTTGTTGACCAGTCGAAAGATAGTTTTTTATATTTTGAACTTGTAATCGATTGGTCAAATGGATAACTATATTGAGTAGCTGTATTTCCTGATCGTTTGACTATTTTAATGGAAGAATAAGTCTTGCTATTTCAATCTGTCTTCTAAGTCTTCCCAGAGTGTGAGAATAGTTACTTATATACTATCCTAGCTCGTAACTAGTCACTTAGATGTAAGTAACCAAAATTCAGATTAGTTAAGCAATTCTAATGGTAAGATTTTAAATTTTCAAAATGCACTGTAAATCTAAAAAGTACAAGTTTATCACTGATCACATAGCTAAAAAATCAGATGATGACAATACTTCAGATCACACAGACAAATCGGTTTAATTAAACAGATAATTTTATCTCAGATTATACAGACTACTGTTATAATAGAGAAGATTTGTAGCTCAGGTGGATGATTTGCAATTAATAGTGTTCTCTGAGCTGGTTGGTTTAGTTGCGGAGCTTTCGTCGTCCTTCTGGACAACATCTTCAGCGCAATATTTAGCATTAAGTGAAATGATTTAAATTTCTTCATGAGTGATATAATTGCATCTCCTGGTAACCATCTTTACATATGTATTGACCATTTTCTATTGACTTGGATTTTAAACTTTCCGGTCACCTGATTTACTTTTTATTAGTTGGTATATTTCGCCTTGCTGACGAGTGCCAACTAGCACGAAACCTAGGTCCAAGGCTTCCTGCCGATTGCCTCCAACCATCTAATATCATCACAAACAATGTACACCGTGATGGCGAGCTACCTAGGATGGTGGCCACATTACAACCTGACTGATAGAATTCAGTCTGCACCAAAGAGAGGACTAGACGCATCACACTAGTTACTAGTGTCAAATCAAAATATCCACTACAGTCCTACAGGAGGTCAATCGCGAGCCCGAATAGCTCAGTGGTAACGTCTCTGACTGCAGCACTGGGTGACGCGGGTTCGAATCTCAGAAGGGACATGAGTTCCTTCAAGGTTGCAGATACGCCTTGCTGACGAGTGCCAACTAGCACGAAACCTAGGTCCAAGGCTTCTTGCCGATTGCCTCCAACCATCTAATATCATATTTCGTCTATGTTAACGTGTTTGTTAATTGCAATTTCGTTTGAGTACCAGGCTTCTACTGTTATCTTGTTCCTAAAGTATATACTATATCGACAGTAATATTAGCGGACTATTGAATAATGATCCTTTTGTATTAATATTCAAGTGTTGGTTTGCAGGGATTTGATTGATTGGCTACAGGATTTCATCATGAGCTGACATCGGTTAGAGAACCGTTGGAGAACATGGGAGTACTGGGCGCTTTTGTATTGATGGGGCACAGTGGAGAAACCAGAATCATGCATCTAGTGTACCGAATGAACCTTGTTGCTGAATGCATATATGCACGTGATGATAGTATCCTTTGTAATGTCTAACAACACGATACAGTTTAGTTCACCGAGCCCACTAATCATGTCGCTGGTCAACTACGATCAGTAGAATTCAGGTATTTCATATTAATTTGTTTATTAGATGTATCACATAGTGAAACAGTATTATTTACTGGATGACGTTTCGAACAAAATTTATTGTTCATAATCATGTCATCAATTATAATCACACGACTTCGAAACTTGAGTTTTATAGTTTTCTTTGTTCTCTCCTATTTGTCGTCGTTGGGGTAGTAGAATTTTCCAGATATCTGCGACAGGTGATGAATCATTCCTATTACACTTATTTGCAGTTGATTCGATAAACAAAGCTTATGTTATCAATCTTTCCCTCCACCCTGTTACATTAGATTTTAAAACTGTCATCTTATCCCATCCTTTTGTATGCATAGTTGTGTGTAACTGCATGTAGTGCTATAGCTGAATTTGATAGCATAAGCTTTGTTTATCGAATCAACTGCAAATAAGTGTAATAGGAATGATTCAACACCTGTCCCAGATATCTGGAAAATTCTACTACCCCAACGACGACAAATAGGAGAGAACAAAGAAAACTATAAAACGAAAGTTTCGAAGTCGTGTGATTATAATTGATGACATGATTATGAACAATAAATTTTGTTCGAAACATCATCAGAAAATACTGTTTCACTATGTGATACATCTAATAAACAAACTAATATGGAATTACTTACTACCTCAGGGCCCAAGTTTTACACGTATATTAGAATTCAGGTATGTTGGGTAGGTGCAGTCGGAGATGTCACCAAACAGTTCAGTGATAGCACGTCTGACAGGAACGATGTGTCATGCCGGTTCAATTTTCTGACAGGGTATCAGTTTTCTCGATGTGGCAGTACGCGTCATTCATTGACCAGTGCTAATAACGACGAGACCCAGTCTTAGGACTTCTTGCTAACTGCCTTCAACCACTTATTAATAAGGTAAGGAGAAGCTACATAATGATACTATGAATAGCCGAGTATATGATTTATGCCTATAACTTACCTAATACCATCAATGGTTAGAGAAGTCTCAGCAATATTTGTTGATAGAATACACTTGCGTACACCATCTGGAGCAATATGAAATACTTTTTCTTGATCTGATGCAGACAGTGCACTATGCAACGGCAGAATAATCCATCGTTTAGTTTCTTCAGCATAAGTTTTAGCTGGTTCCATAATTGCCTTGTATACCGAAAAAGAAAGAAAAGTATGTTAAGGACTACCTTTCAAATAGGAATAGCTGAAGAGTTAACTGAAGAGAAGTTCAACAAAAAAGGCGTAAAATCAGGGAATAACTACAAGGCGACAAATGTTAATGAATATTGTTTTAATTCGCTAAATCTTACCTCTAAACAAGGTAGAATGTAGTGGCATGAGAAACGTAATCATGAATACTAGCGAGATGATACGAGAGAAGTAGAAAACTAAAAAGCTAATAAAGAAACTGGTCAGAATCAACCGTGGAAATGTAATTGTAGCATTATATTTCATTAGTTATTTTACCTTTTTTGTTTGTCTTACAGCATTTTAGCACCATCAACTGAATTATTTTCGTGCCTTTGTGTAATGGATCACATAACTAATATTTTAATACAACCTTTTCCTACTATTCTCTTACCAGTGGACGTTGAGCTATTTGACCTTGTCAATTTACCGTTTGTTGTCTGTAACTTGCTTACAAATGGTTGATATATAACCTCCGAAATAAGTAATGCATTATGAAACATAGAATCACTTATTCACACAAAAAAGAAGAGCATTTATTCTATAGTTTTACCGTCATCATCTTATTTTTCCCTCTCTCATATTTTTACTTCCACAATAATCAGTTTGCTCACTTCCCGGCTTGTGGATCTTCTTTACGTTTGTGCAGTAGACATTCAGCTGCGAGTGATTGATAAAGCATACCCCTGAATTCATAAGTTTCAATGAACTAGTCATGCTAGTCTTTGGCAGTAAATGCTGTTTGATAGTCACATCTAGGGGTCAGATTTCAGAGTTAAACACATAAAATAGCATCTTCATGGTTTTATGCTAGTATATGTGACCTATTGCATCAGAAATGCTTCATGTTTACTCCTACCCTAATGGTGTATCTTGGAGTACGCGTAATCACAATCAACTCTCAGCTGCCTTAATTCACAAATGAAAGTAATTTAAAGCTCACAAAGTTTCAAATTCTCGTTATTACTTTCACCATCTTACACAATTTGAATCAATTTCTGTCTTTAAAAAGATCACGTCTGGTTCCCTGAGTGAATGACGTAATTGTCACTTATTATTCAACTCTTATGTTTGCAGTAAGGATAAATAATACTGAACAGAACTAGGCAGTAGTATCGTTGGAAATAATTATCAATATATACTGTTTCTCGTCTCTGGAATACAACAATAATGGAAGATCTTCAGTATAGCGTCATTTTACTTTTGTTCCTTCTTTCCTTTTGTATATCATTTTATAATGTGGTTACTTGGATCGATTCAATTTTGTGTAGACCGGTCTTATTTGCTTTTGTAAATGTACTCAACGGAGTGAATTTCAAATATACAAGGAACTTTCGATTTCGACTTTGTCATACAAAACTCACTTGAATATCAGCCATACCAGATAAAAATATCAGGAGGTCACCACGTTCAGTAGCTGGATAGGTGAAATCTATTCGCCTTAACAAACGAATATATGGCGCTGGATCAATTCGATCGCTAGTATCAGCCATTTCAACTGGAGATAGTGGAATATAGTGCAAATCTATAGGATATAAACGTCCAGGTACCTATACAATTCGCCAGCAGAAAACAAACAGCAAAATATTAAAAATATTGTTTTCTAAAAACACACGTAATATTAAATCGGTGAAATAAGTTACATAACACGCTTAACAAATGATGATGCGTCTTAATACCTTTCATTAATAGGGTAAAACTGATGCTAACACGAAGAAAGACAGAGAAGTCATAACATTTGGCTACAATTAGAAGGTTGTAAGTGAATGAATCCACATCATTATCATATGACCTACCTCATATGTCACGTGGACATGCGTAAGGAATCGGACAATATCATACAGTGTCCCAAACAGCTGTCAGACTACATGAATCACCACCGTGTTTTGTTACGGCAGTGTATATCAATCAATTGATTATTTTTTATTATTATTTTCCCTTGGGTTCCTAGTGGAACATAGGGCTTCAACTGCACGTCTCCACTTGCTTCTGTCTTCTCCTGTATTTTTCATCTGCATCCATGTTAGTCCAAACTGTTTCAGCTCCTCTTCACACGATCTCCTCCATGTCACCCTTGGACGTCCCACTCGCCGCTTCCCTTTCGGGTTCCACTCGAGCTATGGCCTGACGCGCGATGTCACCCAACGGCCTCCTCAGCGAGTGTCCAATCCATCTCCACTTTCTCCTGCATATTTGTTGAGCGATTGGTTCTTGTTTTGTTTCTTCCCATAGTTTCTTGTTGGTGATTCTTTCCGGCCATCTGATCTTCAGTATAGAGCGAAGACAGTTGTTGATAAAGGTCTGCAACCTGTTGGAAATATTCTTTGTGACCCGCCAAGTTTCTGATCCGTATAGAAGAACTGACTGACTTGACGTTTGTACTGAAAATCCGAATTTTGTTGTTGATGCTGAGTGACGAAGATTTCCAGATTGGTTTCAGGTTGATGAATGTGTTTCTCGCCTTCCCGATTCTCGATTTGACATCCTCGTCCGTTCCTCCTGTAGTTGAGACAATGCTCCCTAGATAAGTGAATGAAGTAATCTCTTTCAAATCCCTCCCGTTGATGGTGATTGGCGGTGGATGTTGCTGTTGTTGTTGTTGGTTGGTTATTTTCATAACCTCCGTCTTGTCTATGTTCACCTGGAGTCCTGTCTTTGCTGCTTCTTCGACCAGTTTGTCGGTTTTCGCTTGTAAGTCTTCGATTTTGTGTGACATCAAACATAAATCATCCACGAAATCCAGGTCTTCTAGGTTCTTCACGTCGGTCCAGGATATCCCTGTCTTCTTAACTTAACCAAATTGCTACAAAAACTTCAACGCACAATCAATTGATACGAGAATTTAAAAAACACTCACAGTAGCGATCACTGATCAGATACAAGCGATTTTTGAAGACTGGAAGACTGTTTTGCCTACTTGAATAAGACCTATTTGCTAATAGGTACTTACTTACATACAGTATAACTACAGTAACTTAAAACTTGCAGTAATCTAGTCTAACATTATGGTACATGGAATGAATATACTCATTTTTATTCAGAACTTTATCCTTAAGGAAATGGAAACACTAAATGAAATCTGTGTAAGTACATTTAGAGATTCACACAATGAGTTACATCTGAATGATAAACTTTCAGTTCTTTTTTAGTACTCACACACCATTTATAAACTCTTCATATTAAACCACACTTCACACAGTATAGAGATTATTTTAACACTATTCAACCTTCTTAATCAGTACACTTATATACTTTCTCATGTACATAAAATTCAAGTACAAAATGTTTATTAAGTAAGTATACAGAAAAATGAAACGATTAATATTAAAAACTACCTCTTTTATTTTAGAATGGATGATATACTACTGAAAAGTGTAATTTAGTAGTTTATTGATTTCTGGAATGTAATGTAAAAGTCTATGAGACTTAACTTGTGAGAGTACATGGTACTACTGTCCAGTTGCTTAGTCGGAAGTAGGCAGAGAAGAGTCTGAACCTTAAATAGCATAAGTTAGTTAGAAACATCTTTACTTACTCGTTTCTAGGCATAAAAGTTTTTAACACAGTTTAACGTTATCAATTAGTTAGATTACTTAATATAATTAAACATACCTGAATAATTGGGCAATCATTGAAAAATTTAGAAAATGTATTCACATTTATTGTAGCAGACATAAGGACAACACGAAGTTTAGGACGTGCCATAATCAAGCATTTAACAAGTCCTAGTAGACAATCTGTTTGCCAATGTCGCTCGTGTACCTGTAGGATAGAAGAAAAACAGTTTTACTACAAAAGAAGTCAGTAACTCAGGTTTAATATCGTGGGTATAGTGTCAACATACCAAGATCGTATGCAATACACAGTGCTCAAGCAATCTGCAGAAACTTATTGGACAAATAGTCCATGAGATCAAACATATACACATTTATTGAAAAAAGAAATTGTCAATCTCTCACCACATTGTAATTCCAGATTATTTAGTTACTTATTCTCATATCACTTAGTTATTTTTTTTCTATGCGATTACAATGACCACTTTAATCACCTACATCTACACTTTTCAGAAAACTGTCATAGTGAATTTCATTAAAGTTCAAAACTGAATGAAAGTGCGAAGATGTTTTGTCTATGAAATTGAAGACAATAATCTATAGAATAAGAATTAGCTTTATTTTCGTTTGACCATTCAAATGAAAGGTTGTCATCAGAAATTGGTAAGCTTTTAACATGTTAACTCTTATGAACTAGATATCTAAAATATGATATCCTATTTTCTATCAAGTAACACTGATTTATTGAAATCAATAGTTGGATAGTGAATGGTACAGTTGTCTGTTTCCAAGTGTTGATCCAAATTAATCAATCAGAAGTGTAGTCTGATCATAAATTTAAGTGATACATTGATGCTATGCATCACAATTTTGATATGAAATACAAAGAGGCAGTCAGCACAAATTCCTAGACATAAGCTTCGTTTTTACTGAGACTTATAAGAAAGAAGTGTCTGAATCTTTGAGGAAACCCACATTCTCTTTGGATTGAGCGACGAGGGTTCATCAAAGTTTCAGCTAAACATTGCTGGGTACAAGACATAGGTAGGTTCAGAGTTCAAACATAAGATTTAGTAATAATAATTAAACGCTTTTTGAGAGAAACGATTAGTAACAGAAATGATGGTGAAAATAATGTTTAAAACATACTGGTAGCCAAAAAATATAAATAACTTCAATACAAATAATATTTTTCGCAACTTAACTAGCTACTGAAAAATATAAAAGTAGTCAAAGTGAGCATAAAAATATTCCAACCAAAACTTGACTCATTTTGCCAGGATGAAGGCTTGAAACTGATACAAATATTATTAGAAGACAATCTGACACCAAGTCAACAAAGAATAACATCAAAACTTAGCCACCATTTTAAAATTGTTGGGATGCTTACAAATAGAAAAATTAATATTGAATTGTGTTGTCCTCAAATAAAATTCATGTTGACTGCTTATTAAAGGTGGAGCCGATCTAATATTGTTTTTAGTTCTTAGGTATAACTGAATTTTTTACTCAAGAGACTCGCTGTTGTAATGCATTTTCAGTCTGTGTTGGATAGTTAGAGGCAATCAGGGTTTCCGGCTTATTGGCACTCGTCAACAAAACATGAAAAGACTGATGGGCCATCATAAATCTGAAACCGAATCCTCTAGCCCTCCAGTCAGAGATTTTAACATTGAAATTGGTGGTAAAATCTCTTCATGCAACTATCTACAACGAATGAGTTCTACTGACCAGACCTGAATAGCGATATGTCTACTAAGTTCAGACGACCAAACAATATTGCGAAGTCAGATGTCTCCAAATAAATAGAGGTTACATATTTCTATGCATTCGACAGCAAGTTGGATTAGAAACATTATGGTCAGCGTTTTGAATCTACATTGAAACCTTGATTAGTAAAATTCACTAACATAGAACATCAGACAGTATAATATTGTTTTTCAATGAAGGAAACTGACTGACGCACAACAATCAGTCCTGTAAGGTTTAGTCATGACTCAGATATCACAGAAGCAACACTTTTTTACTGCGGTATTAAGCAACGCAATTTCAAGCTGACATATTTCGCTCTCGAGAGTTGCACAAATACTTTTCTTGTATGTACCAACGAGGATAAAACAGTTTCAAGGCTGTGAAATATGACTAATCATTAAATACACCACCAATAATTAACTCAACCAAATCACTTCGTTTTTGATACACCATTTAACAATTTCATCTTGTTAGACTGATTTCTTATACACAAATGTATCTCAGATAGTAAGTTTTTTCTCCTTTGCAAAATCTCTGAGTACTTCTAGTCATTTAACTAAAAATAACTTCATGTTTCAGAAACAAGTGAATAGTTTTGGCAGAATTCTGCGCTGTCGACATAAAGACTGAGATAACTATTAATAAAATAAATGTGGAAATGTGGTTCATTGACTTAAGCACTCGACTTTCAGTCAATGAGTCCCGAGTTCGAGTCTCAATCCACCTACTTCAGCTTGGGCAACTGAGTAGTATCATTGCGCCCCCCCCCATCAATAAATGTGGCGCATAGCCCCAGGTGGCATAGCGGTTAGGACACTCGCCGACCAAGCACATGGTCCGGGGTTCGATCACTGGCCAATGTACTCCTTTACCTCGCTAGGCCAGAAATAATGCTGGTGAAGAGGAAAGGTCGGGCATGAGGCTAGCAACCCCATCCTGTAAAATAAACACTGCTACAGAAACTTCAAGCCACTAGCTTGAAGCCCTATGTTCCACTGGGGAACGTGAAGGAAAAAAAATAGCCCCAGGTACTGGGAAACTGAGTAATAACTAACTATCAGTAAAACAAACCCTACAAGAAAAATCCAAGCATGTGATATTCTGCGCATGTTATCTATTCTGTTTAATTTCCTCACCAAAATTGAAGGAACAAATAGTGGAAGAGTGAAAGAGGAAACTTTCGAATGCATTCGAGAGAAAGTCAGAATAGACATACACACGAATGTCACGAAATAGTAACCAACTTAGACCACAAGTCCCCCCCCCTACTGGTGGAATCAGGCTTCTAGTACTGATTGTGAGCTAAGTGATGTAACTCTTTGAAACACTAATTCCTTTATCCAATACCAAATTAATGATCTCCCAGACGTAATTAAACAGCATTTCGTGTAAGGGAAGGCGAACACAATCATGAAGGAATTTAATGTGTCAAAGACTCATTTTGCTAAATAGCACCAACTAGGATGAAATATACAATGCATTAAAATTTATGATATCCACCCTTAATTCATAAAATTGCAGCTTTCTGGCTAATTGCTGTCGTCAGTACTCAGTTTTTCAACTAGTCAATAGCTAAAGATTAAGATTAATCATGTGTATTATATTGTTTTTCAGCTATTTCGAGCCACAAGAAGTTGTTAAGCGTTCTTACTACACATGAAACAATAATGACGATAGAGCCAGTCGTGTTGATGCTACAATTTTGTCTACATTTCAAGTTGTATGCTTGAGTGATTTTGCCACTATATGTTAAGTTTCGATTTTAAAACGACATTCTTGACTCTTTAAAGGCCACTTGATTGTTAGAATAACAATCTGTACATCATTTTTCCGAAGGATGAACTGAAAGGTGAACATAACAATGATATTTGAATTTTACATAACACAGAATTCTTAAAATTGATTAAAAAAGTGTTTTATGTTGGTCAAGCGACGCAAGGATATATTATACTACAATTTTTAATAAACATTTTCCTAGTAAGTGACAAAAACTTTTAAAACCTAGAAATATGTAGTATAGATTTTTCTCATCAAGGACATTGACTTAAGTGTCGATAATAGGTGGAGTTTACACTTTCTCTTGTAATTCTGTCATAGGATTACGTAATTATCATCTTTGTGAGGAAAGTCTTTTCGGCTTTCGTCTAGTGATGAAGGTACTTTCACAAAAGTGGAGACCTTTATAATCGAACTGATATTTACTCAGTACGCAACAAGATGAGTAGAGAAATATCTGATTATCAACTAATGAATTTCATATTTCGCAGGATATGGAATGAACGAATAGTACATAAATTCAATTTGGTCACTAAAAATGAAAAAATTCCCGTTGTTAATATCTGTCTGTTGTGTTGTAGATTAGGCGTGAAGTTAAAAACTCAGGAATTCGTTTCCTGAGACAGTTACTTATTTCAGTTTAGGTACACAAATAGGACCTCATCGTATACGTGAGATGTGACATAACACTTTATCAAGCAATTAGTGTATCTTTAAAAACCCTGAAAAACTCTTATCAATACCAATTAATACATCTGTAAACATTTAAGACATTGGATGTAAAATGATAGTAAATTGTAACTTATTGCTAACACTGATGATGTAGAAGTACACGTTCTTATTATATCACAGAAACACCATTTTTATACTATCCTAACTATAAGAAAAAGCATATTTCGAATACTCAGACCCCAAATTTCCTTATCTAAGTGCAAGAAAATCTTTAGAGATTAAAAATGCTCACTGTCTACCATTCAAGATGTCTAACAATGAATAAATTTTTTTTAATACCAAACACCACTCACACTTTTAAAAAAGAATGGGAAGTAAATGCTAAATGAACATATTCTATGTATTTGCTTACTTCGTCGAGAACTAAGGCATCATAATCATTTAGAAATGGATCCAGCTGCATTTGTCGTAATAATAAGCCTTCAGTGAGAAATAGGATTTGCGTGGCCTTAGTACGACTGCGTTCAAAACGAACCTAGAAAAAAATAAAAAGGGAATCTCGGAAGTTTATATATATATATATATATATATAGTGTGTGTGTCAGTAGGTGACACTTTTTTAAAACAGGAAAATATATAACTGTATAACAGCCTAAATTGGCGTACTTCACAGCAGCGCATTAACTCTTCTTAATGAGGTAGAATAAAATTGCTAATTTTAAAGAGCATTAGACATAAAAATGTACAGATAAACGATGAAACACAAATGTATCTACTTTATTGAACTCATTTTACACATTATATCGTCCGAATTCTCAAAACGTGTACTTCCGTTGCGTTATGGAATCTAAAGGCAAAATTCAGTTGTCTTACACAACCCAGACTAACAGCAGATGGTTTCATTCCTAGTTGCTATTGTCTCTCATTCAACCTGAGCCTTATTCCAAATTACAATAGACAGTTGGTCAGTCTGCCAATCTAAGGTCTATTGACACGGGATACAGTATGTTCAAAATATTTGGTGTTTCCCTAACACTTAGAAATGCAAATATTACTTATCTAGGAATATCGTAAGGAAATAATGTAGAAATTGTTCTGCTATGAATCCCACATTTTTAAAAAGCAACACAATGCAGGAAGTATTATTCCAACTTACTTGATATCCAACCTTAGAACCTCTTTCATTCAGCATCTCAGTGCTCACTCGTGCAGCCAAACTGATGCATGCTATACGCCGAGGTTGAGTAACTGCAATATGTTGGTAAGAATTGGGTCCAGGTGTATCGTTAGAATCGGATTCGCCATAATATAGATACTGTGGTACTTGAGTTGACTTTCCGCAACCAGTATCGCCAGCAACTATAATAACCTGATGATTTGATAGTGTAGATAATATCTCATTTCTAAAATTAGCGATTGGTAGAAGAGTCTGATCTCCCCTAAGTTTCACAATTCGAGCGAACTGAAGTAAATTTATGATAAAAAGAATGTTAATCAGGCAAATTATTTTAGCAATTAGATAAACAAATCACCCACGAAACAGTGGCTACACTATTTCAAATGTAGAGGTTTTGAGACGAAAAGTGAGTCAAGCAATAGAGACAGCAATATATGATTAAATTAAGTGAAAGCCGATTAATACAAGCATTTACCGTCGCCAAAATTCCATGAAAGTAAGTAAACTCAAATGTTCGAAAGTTGGAATTTTCAGCGACAGAAAAATATGGTTGTGGCCATTATGATACCTCTTCTGTAACCGAATAAATGACATTTTACAGTCCAAATTATTCCTAACTGACCTATTATATCTCAAGCCATAAGCCTCATCTGGGGGCTACAGTAGAGAAAGACACTTTAGAAGTTACTAGCAAATATTAAGCTTAATTAACCCATAGAGTATTATTGTGATGGGAGTTCATATGACAGCATCTAGTAATACCTGTAGAAAGCACAACTGAAAAATCTAAATACATTGATTAAATATCACTGTAGACGTTTTTTCAATAACGAGGAAGGCCCTGTAACTTAGCAGATAGAAAGGATGTTTCAAACAACCTTATGTCATAAGAACCAAACAGTAAGGAGTTTACTTACCCACCCACCCTCAAGCCCATATTTTAGTAAACACAATGGTTAGTATATCCATTAATTCCAATTCATCCCCCTTTAGTTCTTTCATTAATATTCTATAAAAATTTGCCGCATCCTTTTCTTCTAAGTTGCCTATAATCTCCTTAACCTTAGCTAGAATTAAAAGTGTAGTGTAACTAGATAATACCAATATAAAAGGCAATTGTAGTGTAGCAGTGTAAGTTGAGTCAAATTCTAGAGAATCTTTTTCATCTTCATTAATCTCAGTTTTAGTTTCAATAACCGTAATTGTTTTAAAGCTAGACCAATTGTCAGTCTTTCCTCTTTCTGTCTAACACTGTTTACAAATTGAATTAACCCTTTTCTCGTCTTAAAAAAGCAAATGTTACACATATTTTCACCACCATAAAATATTCACTGTACCGAGGTGTAACGAGGTAATCTGAATTTATATTGAGTGACATTCGTTTCTAGCTTGAAGAAGTTTCTATTAATATCTTATAGTTGTGATGAATAACAGTGGAGAAAGAAAAACCACAAAACCGCAACACAACAGTTTAAGTCGTCAAACATTTTGGAAATAGATTTGGAAGACAACTATAGGACAAGGATTTAAACACTAATACCGACAAACATAGTAAGCAGTAAATCAAAAAGAGAATTGAGAATGTAGATACACAACTTTAGAATGTAGGTGAATATAGCATAGAGCGATCCCACAAGCGAAGCAACACAGACATAAGACTACACGAAATGGATTTATTTACTGAGATGGAGAAATCTTCACAACCTTTTTCCCATGTGTCAACCATCATATTATTGGAATCTACAACAATTTCGATGGTAAGGTAACTCACTGTTAGTAGTGATAGCTTTGATTAAAAAAGACTTTAAATTCTAAGTAAATTCGTGTCTAATATGTTTGGTAACAGCCTGTCAAAAGCAACCTGGAATACAGAACCAAAGTATAGCTCAAAGTGTACGCAGTTTTGAAAACGCATTTGTAATGACCACAGTAGATCGTCAAATATGTTCGCCACTTAGCTGTTTTCGTAAGTAGTCAAATGTCTTGAAATAGGTGATCAAAAATAAGGCACCCAAACAACTGACCTGAGAACCTGTTCGCAAGGCACAAACTATGTTCTAAACTGAACTGCCATTTAATCACATTTATAATATAACAGCCTCAGTAGTAGGAAGCACCTACACAAGAAAACATGAGGATGGTGACCAAACGGTTGGTATTTACCACCACTGAAATTGATTATCAGTCATGGGATTTTGTATTGCACAGAGAGTCACCGAATTCATTTCACGTGAACGAAGTTCATCTGTATAAAAACGTATTTCACAATTCTACGCATTCTAACGTGCATCATGCAATATATGGCTTGAAATTATAATCCGCATATGTTAAAGTTAAAGTATATATACTTTTTTGAAAGTCTTATTTGTATATATTCCATGAAAATCTAACAGATTTCTTAAGTCATATTTTCTTAACAACCTGAATATATTGGCGAAATGTAGACATTGTCACTACATTTTCAGTTATTGAGCTAAGCTGCCACTTAAAGTACTCCTATAGTTACTTCTTAAGCTTGAGATCTTGTATGAGAACAGAAAACCATGATAAACTTGTACGAAAAACTCATAAATTTACATACCTTGCGTTTCTGAAGAAAGTCGAGGTACATGTCATATATAAGATGAAAGCACTCGAGCTGCTCACGTGTAAGAGACCTGGATGAATGTTCTTTGAATAGGACCTAACAGTTTATAGTCTTACTTGCAGCATCATTATGTCTAATGTAATCTTCTAAACGATAATTACGAGTACGTATATTCAGCCTTGACTTTTTACCTGAAAGACAGTTACTGAAACCTGAGGAACAGTGAAATTTTACGAGGGTTACCAACCATCTGATGAGCTTTTAGCAACTACTTTCTGCAGTCTCAGCAAGAATTTCCAAAACTCATCATGAGAATTTGAATCACTAACAATATATTCCAGTATGAATGTGAAAATAATTACCGGCTTAATATAGCGGATTTTGATTCCGGGAAAAAAATATCCGTTAGGCGGCGCTTATGAGCAAGAAAATCTGCTAAAGCATCTTCATCCCTCATTTGCAGCACTAGTAACGCACCATTGGAAAAATCGCCAAGGCCATTTCGAAATCATGTAATTTTTATAAGCCAGCGTAAACCAAATTGTTTTCAGTGACCTCGCTTTTTGACAATACGGTTCAAATAGCAGTACATTAGTTCACTCCCAAAATTGTTTGTCTGAGAATGGATGTCTTCGAGACTATGTCCTATTATAAAATTTAGTAAATATGCTTATCTATCCAATTATGGGTTACCTTGCAGGCAGCTGCTGGCTGTTTCAATGCATTTTACTTATTTGAACCACACTGAAAATGTATAAGGAAAGAATGATTCACTGATGATTTCACAAAGCACTACAGAAACAGGCATAAAAGTATCCAAAAACGCTGCACATACAAAAGGGTTCAGAAGGTAATAAACCTCAGTAGTCAACGTTTTTTCAGTGAGCTAAGCATGTTGCCAAGTGTGACTGTAATGCCCATGAAATCCAGCTAATTAAGCGCTAAAGACGTACTTCAAAAACGTCCCAAAACAATGATCTACAACAGAATGTTAGTGTAATATGCGTCGGTGACACAGAGGTTTGGACGGTCGCCGACCATGCAAATAGTCCGGCGTCCAATTGAAGGCCGACTTCACTTCCATATCTTCTCATCTCATTTGCAATCTGGGCAGTTTTGTCAGTTTCATACATAATGCGAACGTTCTATTTCCCCACACAGACTTTTTATCTTTTTCGCAAACAGATTCATTCGTACTGAGGTTTCCGTGGCAGTGTTCTTTACAGAGTGAGGTTGCTTGCATTCCGCCCGAGAAGTAAGTTGTTACACAGAGATATAAGTTACAGAGGAGCCACTGTTTGGGCTGACCCCTTTAGGAATCAGGAAGACAAGAGCTAAGGCAATCAGAACAACACCTGCAAAAGGAAAAATTTCACAACAGGAAGGGCAGCGACAACAACAGCAAAAAAACCCATAACAGTAGTATCACTATCAAATACAGTTAACAAAAATAATATCGAAGCCACAGACTCAATGACTTCGGTTGACTTGGGCATGTAAATCCAATAATATATGGAATTATAGACAGTAGTCAGTGCCAAACAGTCACAAACAGTTAGTTTTTGGCATTGCTTGGGCAACAAGATTATATCCGCAGAATCATTGTTTGAATGTAAAAGAATTACAGCAGTATAAATAAATAAATAAATTTATTCTCATAGTACAGTACATGAGGGACGCCAGTTTACAGGCATCATCAAATTGTTACAGAAATAGAACCATATAATTTAATCACAATTTACAGCCAGTAGCAAGATATGCTTTACATGTTCGATAGAGATTATACATACACTTGATAAATGTTAATTCCAGTAGTATAAAACAGCCTTTTCACTTATATACAATCATTTCTGTGCAAAGTTGGAAAAATCTGCTAGATTGTCAGTGAGTGCAACACAACAGGAAATACAGGAGTATTGTCTTCGCATTAACAAAAAAACCAGGTCTTTGGTGGATGGATTATAAGTGCCTGGGAAAAAAATAAAGCTTGAAGTAAATATTCATACATAACTTTGTTGTGTGCAGAGTCCTCGAATTATAGTTCATTGATGTGTTATTTTGAAATCAGTGATGTGTTTATCTCATTTGATCTGCAATGTCATTGTTGGGAGTAAGTACATAAGCTTCGGACGCATTAATTAATGGATTTCTACTGATTACGGGTATTTTCTTAGCGTTAGGAAGGTTTATGAGTTTCAGCTGTTCCGACAGGAGTTGAGAATATTAACTGCTCAGCAACATTATGGGTATAAGTTCATCACATTATCTAAGGAAAGGTGGGTTGCAGTTGGTGAGGGATATATGGTACCCAACGAGCGTTCATCTGTCCTTGTGATGTTGTGGTGAGTTATACCTTTTTCATGTTGTCGGTTTATGTCCATTTTATTCCACTTATTGTGTTGGGTAGTAGTTTGACAAACGAGATTTGTTGTCTGTTTGAGGATACGTATGTTAACCGTTAATGTTTTATCTAGAATTATAAATATAGGCAAAAAACAACAGGTGTAGTATTTAAGCTTATACATTAAATGGACCTATAATTTCGGAGGCTCTCAGATAGGAACTAGAACTAATATCGTTTGCAAACTCTTGTAGTTTGTCATTAAGCACCTTTTTGAAGGAGGCCAATGTACTTGCTTGACGCATTTCCATTGGCAGTTTATTCCATATCTGTGCATACCTAATCAAGTAAAACTTTTGCCTGGTGGCTGTTTTACATTGTTCGATAGCTACTGTACCCTTAGTGTGTCTTAGTTTGTAGCCATTGTCATCTGAAAGTCGAGTGCCATTAGTAGAGGTAAAAACTAAGTGGTTTAGAAGCTTATAGTAAAGTGTCAAGTTTAGTCTCAGGCGTCTTAGCCATAGTGTTTCTAGTCCTAGGGTATCACATCTAGTGGAGTAGTTCGTACCATTTCCGGTTCCGAGTAATTTTAACGTGAAGTACCTCTGCACTCCCTCGACTTTCAATTTGTCCTCTATGCGTATGCTACTATACATGAATGAACAGTAATCAAATAAAGGACGCACACAAACCTTGTACAACAGAATTCTAGACTCATTTCTGTAGAAGTTCCTGAGTAGAAAGCCGATAAGTCTGCGTGACTTTGACACTTGTTTGGAGATGTGTTCAGAAAATGATAAGTTATGTGAATATTTCAGCCCTAGGTCCAGTACAGATTCCAGTCGTTGAAGTGCATGGCCTTGAATTTTCAGGTCAAGTTCTAAATTGTTGCAACCTACGCAGAGCCAGCCACATTTTTCGACATTAAATTGGAGTTGCCAGGTGTCACACCATCTATCCATTTTTTCTAATTCTTGCTGTATGGCGTTTACTGTTATTCCAAGATCTGTGTTCTTGCATTTATACGTCACTTTTAAGTCATCTGCATATAGTATTGGTTTACCTACACTAAAGCATTCACAGATACTGTTTATATATATTATGAATAAGAGTGGGCCTAATACACTTCCCTGGATTACACCACTACTTACTGGTTTAGGCCTTGAGATTATCGAGCCAACTTTCGTTGTCTGACTTCGGCCACAGAGAAATGATTTTATCCAGCTCAGGAGAGGATCACATATCCCTAGTAAGCATAACCTGCTGACTAGCAGATTATGGGGAACTCTGTCGAAGGCTTTTGTTATATCGAAATAGAGCACAATTACTAGTTCTCTGTTGTCCCTACTTCGTGTAACTTCATTGAAAAAGTCTATGTGACAGGTCACGCATGATCTCTTTTTGAGAAATCCGTGTTGTGATGGATTGATAAGTTCATGTTCTAGTAAGTTGTCTGACACTTGGTCTTTAACCACTTTCTCCATTATTCGGGATATTACCGGTGTTATATTGATAGGTCTATAGTTGCATACACTGGTTTTGGCCCCTGCTTTGTGCTTAGGTAATATGTATGTGGTTTTCCACACTTCAGGATAAGTTCCAGTTTCTAATGAGAGAGTAAATATTCTAAGTAACAAGACTACCATTTCCGTGCTACCATTTTTGTACATGACAGATGGTATGTCATCTGTTCCAGTACTATCGTTAGACTTCAAAGTCTTAATCGCTGAGTCTATATTTTGTATATTAAAGTCTATTCCGCCTAATTTGTGGTTGCTTTTGCAAGTCATTTGGAAATTTGGGGTTGGGTGCACTCTGGCGTCATTGCAAAACCACTCATTGAGGAGTTCGCTTATAACCTGGGGATCATTGTGTATTATACCCTTATGCTCCAAGCTGCTTACAGTATTGTCTTTACTACTTTTTAGACGTCTCTGCAATATCCTACAAAGTTCCTGAGATTTGGAGTTACCCACAAGCGCTTTATTTTCTTCAAGTTGTGACCTCATTTTGTGTTTCTCTTCAAGCCGTTTAAGAGTTTCATGTATTTGGTTTAACGCATTAAATTCCTTAAATACATGGTATTTCCTTTTCAATTTCTTTAGTTTTAGTCGCGTTTTGCGGTCTATAAATGGAGTTGGTGTCTTTAGAGCAGATTTTAGGGGCGCGATTATGTCTCTTGCTGAGCCAATTGTTTTGTAGAAAATATCGAGTGATACTTCTAAGTTATTGTTAATGAAGTATTCTTCCCAGTCAGAACTTCTCAGCAGATCTGATAGGAATTCCCAATCGGCATTCTTATAGTCCCTATACTGATAGTGCACCGGGGAATTTTTAGGTGTGTGTTTAGTTGTTAGTCGGAATGGTAGCGTGCAGTACAATATGTTGTGATCACTGTTATCAAGTTTATTTCCTACCTCTATCGAGATGGGCTCAATTTCATGACAAAGGATTAAGTCAAGAGTGTTTTCATTTCTTGTAGGGAGGCGTACGCACTGCTTCCATCCGCCTACGTCTATAGCTTGTAGTAGCTCGTCATGGATTCTAGGTCCTGTACAGGTATCCCAGTTTACTCCAGGTAGGTTGAAATCGCCACAAACTACTTTGTAGTCAAAGTCCAGCGTAGCTGCATGCTCTAGTATTTCTCCAATAGCTATATCAGTCATTTCAGGGCTATTAGGGGGTCTGTATAAACATCCCACGAGAATTTTATTTTCGTTTGTGTGGATGCTTATCCACTTAGATTCAGGGAGTTTGTCAGTAGTTGGGTTATTGAAAGTATTGGAGTTAGTGGATTTAGAGGCATATATTAAGCAGCCGCCTCCTCTTTTGTCAACTCTATCGTTCCTATAGATGTCGTAGTTGTCTATTACTAGCTTTGAGTCAGGTATATCAGTAGTAAGCCAGGTTTCAGTCACCATTATTAGTGTTGGCCGTTCTATGTATGCCAGGCAGCGAAGCGATGTTATTTTGTTAAGGAGAGATCTAGCATTCAGGAGCATAATCGTTAGTAAACCAGAGTTATTGGAGGAGAGGTTAACATGGTTACTTGTTTCTATCCCTACGTTATGTTTGGAGGGGCTCTGAGGTGAGACAGAGTCAGTGTGTGTACTATTTCCTGGATGAATTGTGCAGCGAGTGGGGCTATTGTTTGCTGCATC